GATCCGGAGGGGATGGAGGCGGGAAGCTCCTTCCCCAAAAAAACCGCCTTGCCCGGCTGGGAAATGCCGGGGCCAGCGCCCCTTTTTGGGGACAATCCCCTATAAGGAGTCAAATGGAAATAAGGAATTAAGGAGCTCTAGAACCAAACAAAAGTGGAAGGGACCAGAAAAAAAAAACCAAAAAACTAAATAAAATTTCCTCTTTCAGACCATCACCTTAGAAAAGGATGGCATGGGAAGGGAGAAATGTTTATTTAAGGACAAAACTGTTGTCTGAATTTTTCATGACATTAAATAAAAAGTAACACAATGCATGGATGAAAGGCTTTTTGTCGAGGTGTGTTCTGTAGACACACAGATGTGTGTGCTGCACATAGTTTCTAGGAAGAAAAATAACAACTGGTTTGCAAGGTAAAAAAAAAATAAAATTAATAACGTTGGAAATTGTGATTTTAAGTTTTAGCAAAGGGTGAGACTGGAAGGGAATCCCTCAAAGTCATGGGAAAATAATTTTATTCTGTGGGCTCAGGACCCAGCTGGACAAGAATCATGGAATGGTTTGGGTTGGAAGGGATCTTAAAGCTCATCCCATCCCACTCCCTGCCATGGGCAGGGACACCTTTCACCAGCCCAGGGTGCTCCAACCTGGCCTTGGACACTTCCAGGGATCCAGGGACAGCCACAGCTGCTCTGGGCAACCTGGGACAGCCCCTCCCCACCCTCACAGCCAACAATTCCTTCCCAATCTCCCATCTCACCCTGCCCTCTGGCACTGGGAAGCCATTCCCTGTGTCCTGTCCCTCCATCCCTTGTCCCCAGTCCCTCTCCAGCTCTCCTGGAGCCCCTTTAGGCCCTGCAAGGGGCTCTCAGGTCTCCCTGGATCCTTCTCTTCTCCAGGTGAACCCCCCCAGCTCTCCCGGTCTCTCTCCATGTCAAAGAGCTCCTTTGGAATATTCCCTTGGATCATCCCGGTGTTCCCCCCGGTAGAGCCCCACCTTGGCGGGGTCGATCGCGGTCCCTCGCACAGTTCTGTCCCTCGCGGCCGCCGTAGCACCGTGCCCGCCCCTCCCGCCCGCCCCGCCCCTCACATGACAGCGGGCCGGGCTGTGCCGCGGTGCACTCTGGGAGTTGTAGTCCCCGGCGCGGGGCGCGCAGCGGGGGCGGCCATCGGCGGGACTGCGTTTCCCAGAGCGCCCCGCGGCGGCCCCGGGGGGAGCGGGAGCGGGCGAGCCGTGAGGTGGGACCGGGGGCGCCGGGCCGGGGGGCTGAGGGGGCGGGAAGCTGAGGGGGAGGATGGAGGGGCTGAGGGGGTCAGCAGGTGGCCTCGCAGGAGGGATGGCGGG